TTCTATTACAAAGGATGAGCCACAGAAACACATAGACTATATACATTACACTGGAGTTTTAAATAAATATAGACAGGTAAATATATACATATATGTGTATGTACATATTTATAATGTATATACATATGCTCATGTACATTCATGTAATGTACATGTGTACGTGTGTGTATACACACAATGTACTTTGGTCCTTATCACCATGTCCATTCTCTCACCATTTCAGAATAGAATATGATTACTGAAATGGTGAAAATAACCCAGAACATCAATAACCCGCTTCTGACAGGCTGACCATGGTTATTAAAGAATGTTTAGCAACTCAGGAGGAGACATTAAAGTATCAGGTCTGAAGGTACTGGCACTTCCATAGCAGTGGGGGCTATGAATATCTCGTGCTATCTATAGAGCCCTGAGATTGCCAAGGTCTAAGTATGGTCCCCATGTAACACCTCATCACATGTTGAACACCTAGCATGAGCCATTCAGTAGCAAAAGTACTAGGACAAGTCATAAATAAATGAGAGTATTGGTTTTTTCCACATCTAGTGTTTTTCTCTAGCCTGTTGCCATGTTTGATATTTTAAATAGCTGCAGTGCTACAAACTTCCAAACGTGCCGTGAGTATGGGCAAATGAATGGAGCCAATACTGCCCAGTTAACACAGGGTGTTTCAGGGCTGTGTCTTAGAAACTAGAGATGAAACATCTCTTAACCTCTTCCAGCTGCCAGGCACTGTGCTAATCACTGGAGATATAAATACAAGCAGACAAAACAGTCCCTGCCCTCAAGGAGCTTATATTCAAATGAGGGGAAGACCACCTACAGGGTGCTGGGAAGAGGGGAAGGAAAGGATACATGCACACAGGAAATGCATCCAAGTGAAGAAGGTGGTGCCAGGAGAAAGTCAAAACAAGTATGTAAATACGTGTCCACTTTTTTTTTTAAGGTGGTATTTTAAATAACTAGTTGTGAATTGGACAAGGGAGCAGAGTCAAATGTCAGAAAAATGCCCAGAAGCCACCGACTCAAACCAAGTTATTTTCCTGATATACAGACATTAAAATTGCAGGGAGAAGAGACGGTGATGGGAGAGATTACCCACACAACGTAAAACCTTCTGATACTGGGAAAAACCCCAGCGTAGGATAAATAGAAGGTCAGATCCCAAGGGGTAGGTCTCTTTTTTGTCGTTGTATCCCCAGCCTCTACTACAGTGTCTGGGGCTTAGTAAAGTATTGTTAATTTGTTATGATATGTAATATTGTTAATGATGGGTTAAGAATTCATAGGACCGATTTTACTACTATCTCTTGGGAGCTTTCTGCTAAAGTAGATTCTAATGCACCCCTTGTCCCCCCATGCCCTCTCCATTAGGGGAATCCACTTTGAGCTGTGGATTCAAGGAGAAGGAACATTTGTGCTTCAAAGTGAGGCACTCCTGGGCCTAAATGGGAGAAAACGTGGAGCTGTTAGGTGGAGAAAAGGTCAGAAAATGGGCATCTGACAAAAAGACTGATGCTATGTTACCTTAGGTAACAAACTAGATTTCATCTTAAACCTTTCCCTTTCTCTTTTCCACCATGTTCTTGCTCTCACTAAGACCTGTCTCCCCACTGATGGCATGGCTTCCCTGGCTAACCTTTCTATCACTGGTTGTATTTTTATTCATTCCCAGACTTGCTGGTCATGATGAGGGGATTGGATTATAGGCTTTTCTTCTACCATCATCACTGAATGATCTCTACTCCTTTGAGGTTCACTCAATCTCTGTTTATCACCCAACCAAGATTCTGGTAATTGTTGTCAAGAGAACTGCTGGACATTTTCTTTCCTTCCTCAGTGAGTTCAGTTTCTGAATCACAGTCTTTCTCTTCTCCCCAATTACTGCTCTCATGTTACTGTGAACATTTTTGAATTTGTTTTTTAGTTTTTACATTTTAGTTTTTTGAATTTAGTTTAGCTTATTTTTATTTCAGAAACTTTTATTTTCTATTGCTAGATTATGCTGACAGAACATTCTATAAGTTTTCAATTCTACCAGTTACAAATGTGTATATCTATTTACCCACAACCCCATCAGTATAAGACTTTATTGTTATTATAAAAACCGATGTTATTCTAAGTTGTATGTCTTTGAAGTGTCACTTTTTTTTATTCCTCCTCCCTTGGCAATTATTATTTTTTTTTGTCTTTGTAATTTAGTAGTTTTGTGATTTGTATGCCTCAGGGAATCCAAGTTAGGATTTCTCCTTGTTGGTGTCTTGTGCATTCCTTCTGGTTGTAGAGTAGTATTTGATATAGTTCACAGTGAGAAACCTTCTCTAATGACAATGACTATTTTTTTTTCTTTTTGAATATCTTCTGGCACCCCAATTAATTTGCTTGCACTCCTTATTTTGTCTTTCATATCTGTTATTTTGGCCCACATTTTTGTTACTTTTTTTTTTCAGTTGTATTACATCTTGGGTTTATTCTTCAATTTTTTTTTAATCTATCGATCTTGCATGATTTTTTATCTTTTTTTTTCTTGCTACTTCCACAGATGTTTTTGGACTATTGATATCATTTTGTATTTTCTTTAAGTTGTTGCCTCATCACTTCTCATTCGATACTCAAATGGATTTATGATCTCATCAATTCAGGAATTCCCTTCAGTGATTCAGATGACTACTCCTACATGCCTGCCTATCCTATGTGACTCTTGTCTCTGATCTAAAAGTTTGTCACAAGGGGTCTTTTCAGTGTGCTGGGGCAGAGGTGTCAAATTTGTGGTATGCAGGCTGCAAGTAACCTGCAAAACTCTCAAGTACAGCCCAAACTGAACTGAAATGTAATTAGGAAATGTTTAACAAAATAACTAAAAATACAGTGCAACATAGATAATGTTAATTTCTGGTTTTCTAAGGCACTATGTGGCTGTTTTCTAGTTATGTTTGTGCTTTTGAGTATTGTGCTGAAGGCCTTTTTCACTTTCTCTCAATGCCACAAGAATATTACTGTGAAGACTCTGCCAACTTGTCATCCTTTGCTCTTGGCCCAAGATTAGCCCATCTTCTCTTATTGTCATATAATTCATTTATGTATTTTCTAATCCTGTTCTTCTTTGGAGTTCCTCATTGGTTATACTTTGTAACTAGCTCATATCCACTATGCATCTTTCATTAACCTCTGTGTGATACTCATTTTTAGTTCTTCAGAGGTATTCCATTTCTTCTCATTAAAAATAATTCTTCAGAGACATTAATTCCCATATTTATTATCTAATTCAATTTTTCCATTGGTACTTTTTCTATGCTGTCTGTTGATGCTTCCACTTGTGTTTCTGCAGAAGTTTTTATACATTTGGTCTTTTGCATTACAGGTTTTTTTTTTAATTGAGTCAGAGATTTTCTTTGATTTATGACTCATTTTTCTTTTCCAGAATTGGAATAGGAAAAGTGCCTTCGGAGTGAGCTAGTGTTATTGCATCTGGTGGGAAGCTTTGGTTGTGCTCAGGTGTAGGGAAAGGGTTGCATGCTCATTGTGATCTAGTTTTTAGGGGGGAGAGGAGGCAGTGAGTTCAATAAATTTTTGAGGGAGAATAGAAGAAAGTTTTCTGAAGTGGGGTTGAGGAGGGACTAGTCTGGGCTCTCAGCAGGTGTTTGGGGCCCCTTCACATCTCTCTATAGTAGAGAGCTGGGCCAGTTTAGTCCTCAAGTCCTTCCTTTTCAATTGGGAATTTGGACTGCTGGGCTGTGGGGAAGGTTCATTCTTCCACTCCTGAGGACACTGGGGAGCAGGGGAGACAGGACAGCTTTCAATGGGATTTGACTTTTAGGGACTTGAACTTGAGGGTTGAGTGTGCAATCTTTCTTAGCTGATCAGAGCAGATTAGGAATTCTCTGAGCTTTCACCATCATGGGTTGAATGAGGATAGGGGTGACCTCTCCATTCAGGGAAGAGGCTGGAACAGGAAGCCAGTCATCCTAGGTTTTGATGTCTGTGTTTTTCTGTTTGATTGTGAGTTTAGGTCACCTGGGGCTAGAAAGAGGATTGGAAAGGGCTCCAGTATCCCAGTTCCCCTAATCCTATCAGGCAGTTGGGAAGGAATGAATGGAGATGCTTGGGGTGGGGCAGCATGGACAGAGAAGCAGGTCTAGGTCAGTGCTGGCTCTGAGGGTCCTAAGGCTCAGCTATCTCACTCTGTTTTCAGGTAATTTTCTCAACTCTAATTCCTGTGTTTCTATTCTTGATTCTTTCCTGATTTTCTCTGAGAGCAGCATTTATCAAAGTACAACTACATACAAGGCACTAGAGATGCAAAGATGGATACTACAGAGCCTCCTCTCATAATGCTTAGTGTCTAATTCTAGTTTGGTGATTCCTCTGAGATAAAAAGTCTGTTCTTAATTTGTGCTTGCATATGCTCCTGTTTTGGTCAATGGCTTTCTTTATACAGAAGAAAGCTTGGCTGAGCCATGGTTTTTGTTAGGAGGCTACATTGTAGATAGAGTTCCTAGAATAATGATTGTATTCCAAACACAGCAGATGTCCCTATGGGATTACTACATATGAACCTGGTTGAAAGTATGATACTCATCAGTCTTTGAGCATTTAGGACTACAATGTTCTATTTAAGACATATCCCTGGATCTGGAAGTCTACGCTATCTATTGTTGTAAGATTCTATAATATATACATATATGTGTATATCTATCTATCTATCTATATCTCATAACCTTTAAATAAGACTGTAATCAGTACTTTGATTTTACTTTGTTTTTTTTTTAAATAGTTGTTGGTAGAGGAGTGCAGGGAAAACAATGAACTGGCACCACCTGTGTTTTCCACAAACTTAAAATAATTCATTGTTAGCGCTTCCAAATAGTCAGGTGTAAACACGTTGAAGAGCCTGTTTTAAGGCTAGATATTTATCACACAAATTTTTACATTTTATGATACAGGTTGTAGACTAAGTGCCACAATATATACCAATTAAAAACTCAACTCTTTCACTGACTTATTATTTTTTTTATTGACTGCTGACATCACTTTACAATCAAATATTAGCGGGGTTTCTTTTTTTATGAGCACACCAGATGAGCAAGGTTCAACGCAAACAACTGTTTTATAAAAAACGATAGATAATTTGGATGACTCAGAAAAAACTGTCTTTTAAGGCAAGGGCTCATCCTCTTTCTCTGTCATGGAACCCTTTTGCTATAGTCTAGTGAAGCCTATGGACCTCCTTCCAGAAAAATGTTTTTAAATGTATAAAACAAAACACATAGGATTACAAAGGAAACTAATTATATTAAAATGAAGATGTAATTCTCCCCCTCCCCCAAGTTCATGAAAGCCAGTTAAGAACCTTTGTTTTAAGGGTTTGTAATGTTACAATTTTTAGGTAGAATGAAGGATAGAATCATAGCATTTTGTAGCTAGAAACAACCATAGTGAACAGCTAGCCTCCAAATGGAGATGATCTTTGCAGGTAATGAAAAAAAAAACCAAAAACCAAACACACAGGCCATGGCTGCATTTTTCTGTTCAATGAGACTGCAAACAGGATCACATTAATTTCTGCTGCTGCTCTTTGGCTGAGGGCCACCATGGTACTGATGCTGTATGATTCTGTAGAGATAGCTCAGGTCTGAAGAAGCATCAACATTTTTGTTTTAATTCAGCAAGGGTTGACTGAGGCCTATGATTTGCCATATTCATTTTTTCTCTGGCATGTAAATTTGACATCAATAGTGTGCTCTGTGCATTGATTTGTTGACCAGAATATGAATAATGCTCTTAATCAGGTATAAATTTTTTTCCCATTTCCATTTTCTGAAATATAGTTAAATTTATAGCTCTGCACAGCTGATTGCCTTAAATATAGGTATTTAAAGATGAGTGTCTTCATCTTGTTCAAAACTGGTCCAATGGGGGTCAGAGTCCATTATTTTTTACTTATACTCCTCAATATCACTGACTGCAACAGTCAGTACATTATCACCCTTCTTTCTACCCTTCTCTAACCTCTTCCAGAGACACCTATTTCAGACAGAGACAACACTATCCCAGCTTGCCTATCAATGCTCACATTCTGGATTACACGTGGGGTCATGAACTGTAGCTGCCAAGGGGCAGGATGACCTAAAGGTCTGTCTCTAATTAGTATGCAGGATGCCCCGGAAACAGCAGTCAATGAAAGTATGGTGAATTTTTTTTTTATTTTAATAAGCTCTTGAGATGTTTTTCATTGGGAAGCAACTAAATTCATTGCTCTGTGTGTGTGTGTGTGTGTGCGCGCGCGCACACGCGTGGAGGGAGTGCGGGGCATCACTGTGTGATGTTTGCTTTTATTTCATTTAATTTTGAAAAGAATTATTGGTTTGAAAAGTACAAAAACTGAATACCTCCATCAAAATGTTCTGCAAGGGATAGTCAGACATTAAAGACAACAGTGAACGAACATTTTTCAATTATAAAATAGACAAATGGATGGCCGAAAGCTCTATTTAGATTTTAGAATTATTACCAAGTACTAATTTTCAAAGGGGAGAGGAGGTGAATGCTGTCACATTGCCTCTCTACCCCCAAATTTCCTTGAATGACCTGGAAAAGGAAATGGCAAACCACTTCAGTATCTTTGCCAAGAAAACCCCAAATAGGGTCACAGAGAGTCGGACACAATAACCACAATAAAATTTTGGATATATTTTGTATACAGAGGCAGCATGCCCTAGTCAGAGCCGGCCTGAGAGTGAGGAAGCCTGGGTTCAAGTCCTGCCTCTGACATCTACTAGCTGCAGGATCCTGAGCCTCTCAATGGCGGAACCAACTGTAAGACTTTGAAGTTGGAGAGCAGGTTGTTGCTGATTTGCATCGGTAGAGGGAGTTCATTTCTTGGAACTATCCTACATTACTAATCATCACAGATCCAATAAAAAGAAATCTTTTTTCTAATTACTTATGTGTGCACATGTCATTTCTTCCAATAGAATGGAAACTCCTTGAGGACAGGGGCTGTTTCATTTTTGTCTTTGTATTCTCAGCACCTAGTACAGCGACTGGCGCTTGGTAGATGCTTAATGAATGCTTATAGACCAATTTATTGACTGGCACTGAGACAAAAGTTGACCAGCTTTCTGCAGTAGCTCAAAATGTATTAGCTGAGGAAAAAAACCAGATCATAAAATCACTCAATTTTTGATCACAAAATGCACATTTTATTTACAAAGAATGAACTGGGAACAATTTCCAAATTATCATAAACACAGGGGCAGTGTGTTGTCAGCCTGTCACTTAACACTTGTATTTACAAAATAATGCCTTTAAGACCATTTATCAAGGAGAGGTGAGATCAGTGCCAGACTAGATTTCCTTGACAATGCTGATTTTAGCTGTCACCAGCTGAATTCCTCTAGCATCTTGTGGTAACATCGTAAAAATCCATGATCAGATTTCACTGCTAATAAAATTCCTTCTGAGCTACCTGTACAGTCAAGTCTGTTGACAGATGAACATTTGGATCATACAATTAAAAAAAAAAAAGTTCTGCATGACAGAATCTCAGGGAAATAACACCAGTTGGATCACTGAAATTGTTTCTGAGTGATAACCCTCTGAGATCTGTCATGGTATACCCACACGCTGCTGGCATTATTTCATCACTTGACACGAGATTCTCTTGACATCTGTAATTCTTCATATTTGTGGCGATGGGATGGTGAGCAGGCCTGTTGGCTTAATCTTATTAATGCCTCCATCTAGGATACAGACCCTTGGATATCTGATCTTCACAAGATGAGCTGCAAACTAGAGAGAAGAGACATATTTAGCAGCAAGTATAACCAACCCACGGTGGTAACTCTTTATTTCTTAGACAGAGAGTTTGTTTGAAAGACAAAAATCCTCTAGGACCAACATTACTGTGCAATATTAAGACATAAAGTTTGCTTTCCAACATTAAATCTTGTTCTCTCTCTCACAGCGTGGCAAAATAAACTTCTTATCAACAGCCCAGGGTACCGTAAGTTTATTTTGAATAATCTTCAATCTTACTAATGAAACTGCAAGGAAGGATGACAGCTTTGATGGATTCCATAATCAGTACAGTTCCTCAGTTTCCTCATCTGTAAACAGGGATAATAATATCTGCCTCAAGGGCTGTTTGAAGGACTAAATGACATTCAGGGGTGAGCTGGAGCCAGCTCTAATTGGCTTGAGAGAGCTGATTGTTAAAATTTAAGTGTGAGTACTTACACACTGGAAATCAACAAATGTTACAAATCACAGCTTGATTTATTGTTTTACTGATTATCTAGACCTAAGACAGTGATGGAGAAAATGTCAGTAATGCATATTAAGTTTAAAAGTATGTCCTGTGTATTTCCGGACAGTGGGCTGTTTTATATTTAACAGTATACCCCTGTGGTAATGTATGCAGAAATGCAGCATTAGCTGTACTCTTCAGGCATTATTGTTGTTGTTGTTATTGTTATTACTGTTACTATTATTATTGTTGTTTGAAGCAGCAATATTGTACAACATTCCTACCAAGAATTGGGCTACAACCATAAATTTACTTCAAAGAAATCCCCAACATTACCAGCACTTCCATCACTGACCTGAACTGAATTTGAAAGTCTATCTTGAACACTTACATGTGAGCGAGACACTTAAGAGCTTTTAACAAACATTATTCTGGGTCCCTAGTTGACAAATGTTGATCTTCAGGGTCAGTCACAGGTCAATTTATAAAGGAAGAGTTTTTGTCTCCGGGTCCTCAGCCTCCTCATCTACATGATCGTGGACATGTAGCTTTATCTTCTGAGGCCTCAATTTTCTCATTTGTAAGACAAAGGCAAAGGTGCGCTGGTAAATGCTTAACAACTGGTTCTCCAAAAATACACAAGACACACACTTTTAAGTTTAATATGCATTAACTTTTACTCCACCACTTTCTTAAGTTTAGATAATTAACAAAATAAGAAATCAAGACCTCATTTGTAGAATTTGTATTTGTAGGATAATAATAACACCTACCTTGTGGTATTGTTGTGAGGATCAAATAGATGAGATAATAATTGTAAGGCAGTTAGCACTGTGCCTGGCACATAGTAAGCACTGTATAAATGTTACCTATTATTATTACTAAACTAAACTAGACAATATTTGTAAAAAAGCACTCAGCATAGGGTCTAGCACATAGTAAGCACTACATAAATGTTAGCCATTATTACTACTAAATGAGATAATATTTGTAAAAAGCACTTAGCATAGTGCCTAGCACATAGTAAGTGCTATATAAATGTTAGCTAATTATTATTAAACAAGATATTTTTAAAAAGCACCGAGTATAGGCCTACCACCTAAGTGCTATATTAATGTTAGCTATTATTATTATTATCAAACAAGTTATTTGTAAAAAGCACTTGGCATAGTATCTAGTACATAGTAAGAGCTATGTAAATGTCAACTAGTATTATTATTTATTATTATCTCTGATTTCAAATCGTTCCTTCACATAATACTAGAAGCTTAAAGTGCTGTTCTCCCTGAGACCATTTTTACATTTTTAGCAAGCAGTAAAACCTTAAGCAAAAGAGATGAAGCCTGAATGGTGGGATCTCAGACACAGATCAGTTAAGTGGAAGAATGCGTCTTAAAGGCACTGGGACCTTCTGGGGATCCCTAAAATGATGCCATGAATCTGGCTACTTATTCCTACCCTTCCTCTGACTTTTCTCAATTTTTGTTTGAGAATAAAAGAGTCGTTCACATGGTACTCCTCCTTTAGGTTTACCAAATTAACAACAATGAGAAGAGAAGTACTCTATCTGCATTTTAAACCAGGAGAAATGGAATGAGCCAGAGGAATGAGGTTCAGGCTGCCTGCATCACTGTTCCTCTCCCCAGGTTTTGTGCCAAGCACAGTCCTTAGGGTATCCAACACACCAAGGCACCAGCAGTCATTCAGTTCAAGTCCTGTACATGTAACACAGTTCTGCTGCTATCTGATCATAGCAAACACACACACACACACACACACACACACACACACACACACACACACCCGTCTTTCATGCTTCAGCACATTCTATACATGATGACATTATTACTGCTTAAGCCAGAACTGTGAGATAAGCACCACATTCCTGAAATAAGACTTGTGGATAATCAATCATGGCTTTTCCCACTGCTTTTTTAATACCTCAGAAGTCAGAATATGAGTAAGGAAGGAGTTTACCACATTTTAAACTAATCTCCCTTTAAACTGGGCTGTGGAGCTGGAAGGGGGATTTCTTAGAGTACTTTTGTTAATAGGTGGGGGGAAGACAGCACACTAACTAGGATGAAGAGGTGGCAGAAAGTAGCGACTAAGTGGGAATGCTAGATAGAGCCCTTTCAACAAAATGGTTCGCTGTTAACTTTGGAGTCTAAAGAGAAAAGCGAGGAGATATAAAATACTCAAGGGTTAGAAAATCAACCAGAATATTGAGGCAGAAAAGGAAGAAGGCTGTTGTTGGCTACGTGAGGGACCATTTGTCCTCCATTCTTCTGTCCCAGCAGCAAGATCAAGTGTCTAGAGAGGTGGCCTTGGAGCTAGAGGACCTGAATTCAAGTCTTGACTCTGATATGTGACTTCTTAAGGATTTTAGAGAACTCTTTAAGATGACAAGTTGCAGAAAAAAGGTGCCCATCTGCACAGAAAGAGGGAGTTTTCTCATCAGGGAGTTCCCTACACCAATGAAGTCATAGTTCCAATCATTTGTCCCACTGCTCATATATCTACTGCTCTGTTCATTAGCTGGATACCTAGCTGCTTTCCTCTCCTCTGAATGATTTTGGGAGAGTGCCTCTTCTCCATTTCCACCATCTTGATTTATTTCTAGTTGCCTGCTGGCAGGGAACCAAATCCAAACATGATTGTACCCAACAGTCCTAGTTTCCTGAAACTTGCTGAGATGAGAAGACAGACCATTAAAAAAGTCCCAGGATTTCTTTTCCTACCCACAGTGTTAAACAAGTCCCAGGGCAGCCACTAATGGCAGCAAAGAAAAAAAAATTATGCCGCTTTTTCCACATATTAAGTTCCCATCATCTTCTCTGCTCTTGCTTTGAGTATACAGGAGAACAGGATTGCCATTCTCTTTTGAGGGATGGGAAGTAGGGAAAGTAAATAATCTGAATTCTTCCCACTGAGTCAACTGAGGTCACAGGCTTGAGTTCTGATTTATCTAGATCCCTTTTCTGTCTTCTGGACTTAACAAAAGAGAAGCAATATGGCTTACTGGATAGGGGGAGGCCCTGAGTTCAAATCTTGTCTCAGATACTTACTAGTTCTGTGGTCCTAGGCAAGTCAACTTTTCTGTGCCTCAGTTTTCTCATCTGAAAAATGTGGGCAGGGAGGGAAGGTTGGACTTGTTGGTCTCTAATATCCCTTCCAACTCTATACCTATGATTTTATAACCACACCTGATGCTCTATTATCTACTTTCCCATAGTTCCTTTATTTCTTCTTTTAAAAGTAAATTTATTTTTTGTTATTCATTAAAATTTTTTTTGAGTACCAAATTCTCTCCTTTCTTCTAGTCCCTCCTCCACCCATCGAGAAGGCAAGAAATATGATATCAATAATACACGTGAAATCATGTAAAACATTTCCATATTAGCCATTACAAAAAAAAAAGAGGGCAAGATTCTGCATCAATCTGCATTCAGACTTCATCAGTTCTCTCAGTGGAGGTGGATAACATTTCTCATCACAGGTCCTTGGATTCCAATTGTCTTAGATCATTGTGTTTGATCAGAACAGCTAAATCCTTCACAGCTGATTGTTACAATATTGCAAACAAATATATATGAAAGAAACTACAGGAATACCTAAGAAGAGGGAAAGCCCTGGCATGATTTGCCATTTATCCTTTGTCTTCCTGTCCAAGCAGCATGATATAGAAGAGAGGTGGTCTTGGAGCTTGCAAGCTTTGGATTCAAGTTCTGCCTCTGATACACATTGGCTGTGTGACTCTAGACAAGTCACTGAACTTCTAAAGTACTTCAGAAAATTCTCTAAGACAAGTGGCAGAAAAAGGTGCCGAACCATATTGAAAAAGGGCATTTTCTCATCTGGGGGTCTACTAAATGATCTCAGGTGAATGAACTACATATTGTTATATGGTGTTAATGGACTATTCTTGTTCCTTTAATGTGTTATTAATTATCAAGTCAATAAACATTTATAAAGTAACTGCTATGTACCAGACATTGTGTCAAGCTCTGGAGATGTAGAGAAAGTAAAAAAAAAAAAATGGTTCCTGCCTTCAAGGAGTTCACAATCTAATGGAAAGGAAAGTTAAAAGGGTTTATCCAGATGGGTTAGAAGGATCATCAGGGTTTAAGCAACACTGAGAGAATGTTAATCTATATAACTTGAAAAGAAACTTAAATTAATTAAGAGGACCTGGTAGCACTTAGGTGGGGAGGAAAGAAATGGAATATTATGTATGACTCTCCCAAAAAGGGATGCAGAGGCATCTGGCCCCTTCCCAATCCAGGACCAAATTATCCCATTTCCATATTACCATCAATCCTTGCAAATTTCTTAATTTTATTGTTCATAAGCATGAAGAAGAAAAAGGCAATGAAGAATAATAAACAGACAACAAAGATCTTAAATTTTCAACAGTAGTACTTGTAAAAGGCAAGAGGCAGAGGAGAAAATCCAACAGCTTAGTTTATTTTGTAACACCTTGAAAACTGTCTAGTGCCAAAATAAAAGGTGGAAAATGTAGAGAAAAGAGTCCTCGAGAATG